GGCTGGGTGCCGACCTGCACCCCCACCATGGAACAGACGGACCTGGGGGGACGGCCGGGCCTCGTCTCCCTCCCTCAGGTCCTGGGCCGTCCGTGAGCAGCCATGACTGTGCTGGGGGGTAGGGCCTCAGAGCCGCCTGCTGTGGGGGGACGGGGCTGGGGCCAGAGCACCTTCCCCCTGAAGCCCCGCGGGGCCTCTGAGACACGAGATGAATCAGCCCTTCCCCGGTCCCCGGCCGAGGGGGGTGCGGTGAGACTCCCGCACCCGGGCTGACACCTGGGGCCCCTGTGCCCGCGTGTGCCGGCCGGCCCCGGGTTGGGGTGGGCTCTGTGGGCGCCTGGGCGTGGGTGCCACCAGCACCCAGTGGGCCTCCCTGTCCCCGGGGCACACGAGACCGGGCCCTGCTTGTCCTCACGCAGGCTTCTGAGCAGAAGCCTGGAGGCCTCTTTCAGCATTTGACTCCACAGGGCCCAGTGCCGGGGCCGGCCGGCTCTCGCCGCTCCTGCGCCCTCGTGCCCCCCGTGATCCCCTCTCATGGTCTCCCCCCCACACACACACCCTTGTCCCTTCCCCTGGTTCTGCGCCTCACATGTGTCTTGTGGGAGAGCCACCGCCTCCATCCCAAGCCCAGCCCTGTGCCGCTCGTGTCGACAGCAGGTCAGACCCCGGGTGGCGGGGCTTCCTTTGATCCCCGGGGCTGTGCCCTCTGGGGCCAGTTGCTTGTGACCCCCTGGATTGCCGTGCGTGGCGCATGCACCTGCCTTCCACGCAGCGGCCTCCTGGAGCGCAAGGCCCTGCCCCTAAGTGCTCAGCTCACCATTCCTGGCCCCAGGCCCTCCCGCTGTCTCCTGGAGGACCAGTCCTCCTTCCGCAGGCCGCGTGCGCCCTGGGCCCCTCCACCCACCACGTCCCCAGTGGCTGGTCCTGGGGGAGGGGACCGCTCTGCTGTCCCGCATCCGAGGCCTGGCGGAACTGGGGGGGTGGACCAGGGGGCCCTGCTTCCCGGGGTTCAGGCTGTGGCTCAGAGCAGGTGAGCCTTTGGCAGAAAGAGGTGCACGCGTGTTGGGTGAGGGCCGGTAAGCACTGTCCTCCCTGCTGCTTCACTTCAACCGCGAATCCCTGACCCTGTTCGGACATAACAGAGTCAGGACAGCCCGGCGTGGCGGGGGGAGGGTTGTGGAGCTCAGCGGCCAGCACGGGGGCTCGGCCCGCAGGACTTGGAGGCGCTCCAACACGGGTCCTTCGGTCTCCAGCCGCCTGGACCTGCATGTGGGCAGGTGTCCTGGGCGACCGGAATACTGGGTGGAACCCAGGCCGTAGGTCCGTCTGACGCTCACCCTCAAGTTGGTTTTGGTAAGAGGAGGGCACGAGAAGCCGCCTCCTTGGCCGCGGGCCTCATGTTAGTGAATGAATCCGGAACCGCTTCCTCCGGTTGACAGCAAGTGTGTGTGACGCAGGGACTTGCTGACTCTGGCTTGGGTTTCTGAAATGGCTTGTGAGGCCCACAGGTCTTGGGGAGTCCGTGTGTGGGGATCCCAGGGAGCCAGGGGGACAGAGGGGGGTGGCAGGGGGCACCAGCCACTTGCAGTGGGTGCTAAGCAGCTGTTCGCCCTCCAGCAGCAGGCTGACCAGAAGCAGCTCGCACGTGGCGCGGCGGCGCCTTCATAAACGTGCCACCCTGTTCCTCCAGATGCTTCCTTCCTTCACCTCTAACACCTCCACCCCTGTTGCTGGAGGGGCCCACCTGGGACTCCGCCGGCCCGGGCCTTTGAGTACAGCGCTGGCCACTCCCATCCCGTGTCCCCATGGCCCCTCCATCCCTCGTCCAGGGGAGGTGCTCACGAGGTGCAGGTCAGGCCACGTGCCAATTTGGGATTTTGCCCCGTGGTTTCTTGTAAAACTCGGTGGTTCAGAGTTGTGTTGACGTTACAAAAACATCCTTGATGCCAGTGGCTGAGGGTTCCCTTGACCGAATTTTGAGAATGCTTGAGAGCGGTCTCCCAACGCCGAGGAGGAGGGAGCACCGGAAGTATTTCTGAGCAGACGAGTGTGTTGCTGGGCACGACCAGGTGAAGGGGGAGGCTCCAGCGTCAGGGTGGTGGCTGGGCTGCAACAGCTTCAGGCGCTGGTCACCGTGCGGGCGGCAAGTGGCCAGAGCCCAAGCCCTGGGTCTCCCTCCGAGACGCCTGGTGCGGGGGAGCTGAGCTCCGTCTCTGCGCTGAGCCAGGCCCCGGTGGGGGGATGGGGTGGGGGCATGGGGTGGGGGCGGGTGCTGGGAAAGGGCCGTGGGCAGTGACCCGCCTGGCTGGCTCCGGCTCTGTGAGGAGGTGAGGAGGCCGTGCGGGGAGCTGAGTGTGCGGCTCCCCCACCTCCTGGAGTTCAGGGCTTCCTGCAGCCACGGGGGGGGGGGGGGGGCGCCATGTGGAGGTGCGGACTTGCAGGCGTTTCTCTGGGAGACGAGAGCCTTCGACCTGGGGTGTGAGTGAGGGGACCTCTGCAGGCGGCCAGCGGGTCCCCTGCAAAGCCTTCCCCTGGGTGCTCCTGGGACGGTGCTGACCCGGGTGATTCACGGTCTTCCTTTTGACCCGAAACAGGAGCAGATCATCAGCCTGGTCAATCAGATCTGCGGCAAAGTATCTGGTAAGAACGGCAGCATCGAGAACTGTCTCAGTAAACCTACACCAAAAAGAGGGCCCCGCAAGAGAGCGACCGTGGACGTGCCGCCATCCCGGCTTTCATCCTCCAGTTCATCCAAAAGTGCTTCGAGCTCGTCGTGAAGATGCCAACACCCGTGTCGATTGATATATATTTTTTTGTAATTATTATATTCTAGTTTGGAGTACTTGCTGTAGGATACAAGCTGTCTTTGCACTAGCTCTAAAGAAGATTTTCTTCTGGTTTTAGAGAACTAATTTTGTTTTAGCATTAAACTGTTGAACTTTTTTTTGTACTTAGAATACCTAGATACTGCAGTCAGATTTTTGAAACTGCCGTATATTCACTGTTTTAAAAACCCTTGAGGGGCTGTATTAATTTGTATCGCCCCTGTGGCTGGAAAAAAGCCTTTTTGGTTTTTTGTTTTGTTTTTGTTTTTTTGTTTTTTCTTTGGTAACTTGGGGGAAAAAAAGGCTTTTTAACCCATTTTTGAAGAGGGTGAAGTTTGGAGAACAAATTTTAAAAACCATCAAGTTGTGAGCAGATTTTTCTAGAGAGGAAAAGGGATAGGAGACACACACACACCACAAAACTTGAAAAGAAATGGCTTTACTTTGGCTGTCTTTTCTTCTGTCATGTGCAAAATGAGTTTGTAATTTTAAAAACCGGAGAATCCCCATTCTGTGTCTTGGGGCGGTCACGGCAGCTGAAGGCAGAGCCGAGGCAAAACGCGGAAGAGGAGCGCCGAGGTTCTCTTTACCAGCACATCACTATGCATCTGTTTTTGGAAAAGAGGAGAGCGGGAGAAGACGACTGCCTGCCTTGGAGGGGTCACGTGAGGGACACCTGTGCCTGATTTCATTAGGAAATCCATTCTGTTATTTTTTGGTGCTGTTGGCTACTTTATCAAAAACCCTTCAATAGCATCCTTACGAGAAAAAAAAAAAAAAAAAAGGAAAAAAAAAGTGATCGAAGCCGTAAGTGCTTCTTCGTCATAGATGTGCAATCTTTCTAACATTCCGTCTCCATCTCACCGCTTGTTTCACACCTTCACAAGTCAGCATTAATCTTTCTTTCTTTTAAATTCGTTTCGTTGACGGTCACACTTAGAGCCACTAGGAGGTCTGCAGTTCTTTTTTGAATGTGAAAATGCATTTGCGCTCATCTTGTCTATTTTTTCTCTCCATGTTGTAACAAAAAGAAAAAGAAAAAAAAAAGAATCCCATCCCTTTTGTACATAACGCCTGTAAATTGTTTTAAATACTTGAGCCTTTTTCTTGGTGGGGGGTGGGGAGGGCGCGAAGACAAGATGAAGAAAAAGCCTTACGTTTCCGTTTCTTCATCGGGTGGATTGGATGCTTACAGGGTTTTTCTTGTAACATTTATAAGTGCTGCTTACATCACTGAACAACAACAACAAAAATAATAATGGAGTAGCTGTTGCCCTTCTCCGGTTGTGTGTACAGTACGTGTGGAATAAAAAAGGGAACTGTTTTCACAAGCTGTTCTTTGTTTCGTAATTGGATCCACCGAGCCCGTAGCTACCCCTGTTGCACTGAGCTTGCCAGTGGGACTGTCAGGAGCGTCCTGTGATACACTTTGTTGGTTGTTGTTGCAGAAGACTGAACTGTTTTTGGAATATTTAACAATTACATAAACAGAGTCAAGTGTTTTCCAATGTGGTTGTCCGGTTTTTATGGCCTTGCTGTGTACTTTCCCTTTTTGACAGTAAACTTCTGCCTATGGCTTACAGTTTGACATTTAATTTATTAGCGCTGCTCTGCACTCCTCCCGCGGGAGGGAAGACTTCATGTTGTTTATTGCCAGTTTTTTGTTTACTTTTCAGGTTTGTACTACAAGGTTTAATAATAAAAACAAAGTTTTTTGGCTATTTGTCTGTCTTGTGGAAGATGAGTGAATGAGACAAACTCTTTCTTTTCTGGTAACCGGGCCAAGCCCCCAGCCCCACAGCCAGGCCGGGGAGCCCCGGCAGTGGTCTGGACCCCCAGCCGCAGCCCGGGGCACAGAGCCTCACGGCCGCCAGGCACTTCTCCAGGGGCCGCCTGCCCTCTGGGCCCAGTGCTCCTCCCTTGGGCCCGGGGGGTGCGCTCCGAGAGTCGGGGCGCCCGGGGGACTGTGGACTCCAACCTCTGCAGCTGGAAACCCAAGCTGACGGGGCTGTGTTCTAGATGAAGCACAATCTACCGTCTGCTAAGGGCTTCCGTCCCCCGAGCCGAGGCAGGGAGGCCACAGCGAGCCTCCTGACGCGGGCTCCGGTGTGGCCCACGGCCCAGGGGGCCGATCTAGGAGCCCTTCGCACAAACTGGCCTCGCACTCGCTCAGTATGAAGTCCTCAAGCTTTATTGTCGGCTGTCTTAGTTTCTCACACATTATTGGCAACTGAGTAAAAGCCAAGAGCCTCCTGTCACAAAAGCACCTGCCTCCTTGGTGACGTTCCGTGCGGCCGCACCTGCCCGGACACGCGGACCTACGAGTCGCTGTCGTCGCTGTGTAGCGTGGCGAGGGCAGTGTCCACCTCAACTCCCTCCTCGTCAGACTGGACCACGGGGGCCTCACTGTCGCCGGGGGCCGGGGCGGCCAGCTCAGGGCAGGCACACGGCGAGGGAGGTGGCTCAGCTTGCGATTCGGCGGGATCTGGAACCCGGAGCGTGATTTCCTGACGACTGTCCCCCGAGCCGGGCCCTGCGGAGTGAAGACAATGCCATGGGGTCTCGCAGCAGAGAACTGCTCTTGAAGACGTCCCTCCAAGGGTGAGGAGCTGGGGCCCCGCGCCGACCCTCCGCCCCTGGGACGGGTCCAGAAACCTCCCGATGGGGGCCAGGGACAGACACACGGTGCCGAAGAACATGCTGCATTTCTCAGGGGCACGTCCCGTGTCACCTCGGCTACCTGGACATCTTTAGATCCTCGGGAGGAATCCTAAGAGAACTCCCTGGTCTTTTAGCAGTTCTCCAAGGTCATGGGAACAGAAGGAGGTCTGAGGGGTCGGGGTCATTGTGTGCCTGTCCCTGCCTCTGGGGAAGGGGCTCATGCTGCTGTGTCCCCACCTTCTGTGCATGGGCCTCGGCACCCCCAGGACAAGAGGGGAGCACTGCCTCGAGGCGTGGACGGCTACACCGGGTGGCAAGAAAGCTGGAGTCTGACTGCGGGGTGGGGGCCCCATGGCCGGTGGGGGCGGGGGGGGGGGCAGCGTGCTGCCGGAGGGCTCCCCCTGTTGATTGTACGTGGAAGGGCAGGCAGGCTCTCCCACCTGACCCAGGTAAGGGGTGGGGCTCAGGAGGGACACAACCAGGAAGCCCAATGAGGGGAAGGCAGAGAGTGGCGGCCAGCTGCCACAGGGCTGCAGCTATTTCTGGAACTAGGAGCCCAGGCTGAGCCAGAGCCCAGGTAACACCTGCTGGGGGCCAGGGGGTGGGGGAATGGAGGGCGAACCATGCGGGAGCCCCTGCCCCAGGGACTAACCAGCTGGAAGAGGTGCTCACAACCTGAATGCAGCCGCCTGGGCCCTGGTGACCGAGCCTCCCGCGCGCCCCTCGCCTCATGATGCCCCGTGGGTGCGGCAACGTGGCGGCGGCAAGACCTGCACGGCCCAGTCACAGGCCTCGGAGGTCTTCCCTCCGCAGGGACACGGGGGCTGTGGTAGAGCTGGTGCAAGCTGTCCTCCCCACCTGAGACCGGAGACGGCACCATGTTGTCTTCAGCGCCGGAGTTCAGGAAGACGTCCAGAGCCTCCTGGTCAGAGATGTCCATCAGGTCCATCTGCTCCAGCATGTCGATGTTGACCTCCATGGACGACATGCTGCCCATGGGCTCTGGGAAGACACGGGCGGGAGAGGAAAGGACACTTCAAGAAGCCACTAAAAGGTGAGCTTCAGATGCACCAGGCCTGCACAGTCCGCCCTGTAAGGTACGTCCCCTCGAAACCTCCTAAAACAGGACAGGGACCCCTCCCGGTCCAGCACTCTGACCCCACCAGCCCTGGTGGCTGTGTCGTTCGGACCCTTGTGGCAGTTTCCCTGCTCACTGCCAGCCGCGTGCTGACAGGTGTGGCTGGGAGCGGGGCCGTCGCACACAGCCACGTGGTCCGTGACCTCCCTGCCCACAGAGGGCCCCAGACTCCATCGTCATGGTCGACACTATCCTCGCCCTCGGGGCCTCTCGGTCTAAACAGCAGCCAAGGTTTGGGCAGCTGCAGGCTGGCCGGGTGGCACCACCGGGTCCCTGCAGGTAAAGCACAGGTTAGAGAAAACGACCGGCCACAGGCCAAAATCGACCCCCTTGGGGGGGGTCAGCCTGGGTCTGGGGGTGGGGGGTGCCTCCTGCATCTGGAGCCTCTACCCCAGCCTCTCTGTGGTCCCCAAAACCACAGGCCAATTGACTTCATCACCCCAGGCGTGACCAGAAGCACGTTCTTTCTGGATGCAAAATACCCTTAGCCCTGCGGCTCCCAGTAACGCTCCAGTAATGCCAGTAACGTAAACACAGCAATGGAGCTGGTCCAGGGCTCGCTCACGGAGTGTGCGCGTGTGGGGGTGTCAGCAGAAACCCGCTCAGTGTAACACCCCCTCCCCAAGGCTAAGTATTTTAATGAAAAGATGGAATCAAAAAACAACAGGTTGAAAACAAATACTTGAGAAGAAGCCAAATAAACTTCCAGACGTGAATATTTCCATCACCAAACTCCAGAACTTGGGGCAGGAGTTAATCTGAAGATCAGTGAGGGCCGCTCAAGTGCGCAAGCTACACCGAGCAGACTGCACAGAAACAGCTGGAAAACGCGACGGCTGAGCACGGTCACGGCTCCAAGATGAGAAGGGGGGGTGAGGATTCTGCCGACATCCCAGAGGAGGGCAGAGGAGGAAGTCACTAGGCCTGCAGCTTTTCAGTAACAGTAAAAGCCGAGAGACGGTGCCCTGCGCAGCTCGAAGAGGCGATAAACGTCATCTCTAAAGTTTTAGGACATTAAATGGATTTAAGACTGAGCATCCGACAGCCGCTCACAGAGCTGCAGCCTCGGGACACAGGGCCCCAGGTGCCAGGCCCTGGAGGGCAGGTCCAGCCACAAGGAGGCTGCTCCGCGGAGGGTCCTGGGAGCATGGAAGGAACGAGCAGGGATGGAGCGGTGGGGGCGAGGGAGGGCCTGGTCACCGCGGGGGCAGCACCGTGGCCCACCAGCACTGACATGCACACGGACACCGTGTCCTTTCTGTCCATGAGCTGGGGAAGCTTCTAGAGTCTCAGTGGCCCCCTGCAGCCACGTGGTGAGCACGGGCTGGGCCAGGGTATGGACCCTGCGGCGTCACCATGCCACAGCACCCCCAGGTCACACGGGCGCCCGTGGAGGTGCCAGGAGGTGGGAAACTGGTGGGTTCTGCTCTGTGGACGAGGAGGCCTGGCAGCGGGGCCTTTCCCGCTGCTGGCCTGGTTCTCACTGCAGGTTTGAAGGCCCCCTGTCCTGCCTGTCTGTCCCATTCTCAGCAGGAGTGGGACTGACAGGAAAACTGGATTCAAAGTGTCGGACTAGCACCAAGTAAGACGGTAATGAAGCCAGGGAGGCCAGTCATCTCCGTAAATGTGAATGAATCAGATCTGTCAGGTGTACCAGGTTATAACACTGAATTAACGGGATAAACATCTAGCTGTTTTCTGTTTGTAGGAGACGCTCCTGGAACATAGGGACATTAAAAGAAACAAACATGAGAAGCAAACAAAACAGACTTTATGAGAAGGCCAAAACCCCTGAGGTAGAGCGTAGTGCTGAGGCTCAGTTTGCCAGGAGGACAACCCGGAATGTCTGTGAGACCAGCTACCTGGTGGCTGTTTAACGAACGGCAGAAAGACAAGATCTAACAAACCCATACTCGTGAGGGGACCGAGGGCTTAAGGTACCTCTGTGACAATCACATTATCAAATAATGAAATTTAGTGAGAAGGGATATTGAGACGCCACATTATCAAATAATGAAATTTAGTGAGAAGGGATATTGAGACGCCGGGAGTCCACACACAACCCTAACGTTTAGAATCTTGCAAGTACGCATGAAAGATAAACTCTGTCTTGAATTTAAAAAATCCCATTCTCCAACAACCACAAAGTAACAAAGGGTAGCTACAAACACCTTCACGCGTTACTTAAAAACCCTTCTAAACAGTTTACAAGTCAAATTGTAATGGAAAACTGGAAAAACCCAAGAAACCTATTACCTGTCAAAGCCTGTAACATTCTGTTAAAAGTGAACTTTACCCTCCTGAGACGTTCATCGCCTTGACTGCCTTATTCAGACAAGAATCCTGAGACCCGGAGCCCAAATGGTCATGTTAGACCCCAAACCCTGTGAACCACCCTGGGAACCTGCCGGCGTGCGGCCCTGCCACAGGTGCCCGGAGAAGCCCGGCTCACTGGAGAATGAAGACGGTGCCGCCGGGCTCCAGGCTGGACGCACGGGGACGGGACAGAGCAGAGGCCCCAGAGAGCCGCACCGGGGCTGCAGCGAGACGCGGGGGCCGCGGGGAAGAACGCGGGGGCCGAGGCCGCGGGGCCCGCCTGGGGCCTCCCTCACGATCCGCAGAAAAGCCACCTGGAGGTGGATTTAAGAGCCAAGTGTGAAGTGGAGACCACAGCAAGCTTACGAAGGAAGCACAGCAGGACGTGGTAAGTCGCAGTTGGAGCCACGTTCTGCTTGGTGCTCCGTCCTTGGAGGGAGGGAGGGAGCCCTGTGAGACACAGGACGAGCCACAACAGGATGCGATGCGCTGGTCCCAACAGAATAAACGCACCCGAGCAAGGCCACTCCAGGATGGGAGAGCCGAGGAGCGGGTGAAGGGGACCGCCTCGCTCCCCATCAGCAGGGCCAATGCCCCGGGCGGAGGGCCCCGAGTGTCAAGGAAACGCTGATCAGAACCCCGAAATAAGAGCTCGCGTCACACCGATGGGCAAAGCGCGAGCCTCGGGCTCTCCCAAGCGTCGGCAGAGACGAGGCGGGGTCACAACTCGCACACTGCTGGGCCGGGAGCTGGACAGAACCAGCAGATGAACGAGAGGCGCGTCCAGTGGCCCAGGGGGCGCTGTCCTCGTGACCCCCCGAGGAAGCGGTCCTCCAAGGGCGGCCCGCCAGAGCCTGAGCCCCCCGCGGCCGCAGCGGCTTGGCAAGGCCACGTCAGGCCCACCGCGGCCCTGCTGGATGGGAACCCCCGGGCCGGGCCGGCGTGTGAGCAGCCCCGAGACGCACGAGAACGCCCTTACGGTGGGGTTTTTAATGAGAAAGAATGCGAAACCATTAAAACCCCCATCAACACAGTGAAGAAATTTCAGTATATTCACTGAATCGATCTATTTAAGAGTGAAAATGAACAGTTGAGGCTGAAACGTGCCGGCGCGGACAATGGTCGGGAGGCCCGCTGAGACAGCAAGCACGCGCGGTGGAGCCCATCGGGCCGTGCACGGGGGTGGGGTGGGGGGTGTATGGGGGGCCGTCGCGGCCTTCCTCGGCGCTGCTGCGCAGTTCCTGAGCTGGCTGGTTGGTATACACGGGTGTTTCTATTATTCCTTATACCTTTGTGTATGTTTGGAATATTTCATGACATTTTTTTACAATATCTGAAGCAAATATGGTAAAATATTAAAATGTTAAATCTGGAAATATTTTCAGTTCTTTTTTTTGGATTCTTTAAAATACTTCCTAATTCAATGAAAGCCAGTAACGGGTTGTAGTAAATTGCAAAGTTCTAAATAAAACTCTTACTGGGGTTTTTAAAAGTCACACCCATAAGCTGGCGATGGTACTTGGAGCTACTACTCCATTCAAGACCACACACTGGGGGGACACTCTATAAATTTTAGTTTGGTGTATTTTTATCTATTAATTCTATCTTTTCTAACTTTGCTGATCTTACCGCCAGCCCACCCATCACCACCTCCTCTTTCCCGGCACTGGGTCCATCCTGGAACATCCAAGGGCTGAGTGAGGGCGTCTCAGGGCACGGGGGGGGGGGGGGGGGCGCCCCCGGCTCCAGGATTGGACTTCGCTGAGCTGCTAGTTCACCAGGACAGCCCCCCACCCCCAGCCTGAGATCCCTGTGGGAACAGGGGGATAAGGAGCAGGGCATCTCCTTGGTGATCTGCTCGTTGCTAACTGCCCTAGTGGTGTCGGGCAGGAGACGGAGCCGGGTCAGGGCTGCACCGGGCCCCCCTACCCTGGCCCCCCCTCACCGCTGCTGGGCGCGTGGTGGCTCCCGGGCCCCCTCTGCTGCTTGGCACATCTGGCAGTGATTTTTATGCCCCTCCAGGCACATGACACTCTGTGCTCTATGGGTTCTCCAGCCTCACCCTGATCCAGGGTGGCCACAGATGTCCCTTTACCCTTTTCTGGATAAAACTTTCCATGCCTTTGTCTTAATTAAAAATGATGCTTTGGACAGTGAGAATAATTCAGAATGCTATTTCTGATTTCATGGAGGGAGTCCAAAATACCATGTTCACTATGGAGATTTTATTTTGACTGATTTTTCTACATTAAACATCCCCGTGTTCATCCTTGGAGATGAATACTCCGCGAAGTCACGTGGGGCTCGCCAGGCCGGGAAGTCCCGGGCCGGCTCTGAACAGCCCTGTGGAGATGCCTACTTGTTATCCGTGAAGGGTTTTCCAGCTCTAGCTGAAGCAGAAAAGCTAAAAAGCCCAAATCTTCCAATTTTCTTCTTCAGTGCTTTCAAAAACCACACAAATTGGCAACCTGTGCCTGATTCCATTTTTTTTAACCTTAAAAAAAAAAGAGCCCTTCTTTCAAATTTGAAGGGAGGTTATTTTTCAGGTGTCCAAAACCATAAAAATCCAATTCCTTAATATTTAATTGACCTCTACCCAATAAGAGTTGTCTGAGCGTGTCCCTGTGCTATCCACAGAGGGTCCCTGTCCCGAGGGGATCACTGTCCTCAGGAGGAGGTACCTCTGAACCTATCCTGCTCCTTCCACCCATCACCCGGCTCAGTGAGTCTTCATGCTCACCCCCTGCCTCCCCCCACCCCCCATAAGAACAAGGGCGACTTAAGAGGCACTTTCATTTTTCTCTTTGTTCCTCTGGGCCTAAAAATGTGCAGCGTGCTCACAGGTGCCCAGGGAACGCCTACTGAACAGATGCGGAGAGGGACCTGCTCCCTTTGCTGCCCCCAACACACAGGCTCTCCTGCTACAGTGGCTCATTAAGAGCGACTGTGCCAGGATGTGCGTGTCCCTTATGGCCTGAATGTCTGTGTCCCCCTGATTCCTGCTGAAGCCCTGACCCCAGTGTGACAGTGTCTGGTGGTGGGGCCCTTGGGAAGCAAACAGGCTGAGATGAGGTGGGGAGGGCTGGGCCCCCCCCACTGGGATTAGCCCCTCTAGAAAGACAGGCCCGGTGTGTGTGGGGGTGCCTCTCATGGCCCAGGTGGGGACACAGTGAGCTGCAAGCCAGGAAGAGGGCTCCCCTGTGAGCCAAACCTGCCAGTACCGTGATCTTGGACTTGAGCCTCCAGAGCCTGCAGGTTAAGCTGCCCCGTGTGTGGCCTGTCATGGCAGCTTGCGCTCCCATGGCCTCCTCACCCCTGCCCAGGACAGGACCCAAATCTTCACAGCAAACGGGTCACTCAGTCCAAAACCAGCACCAAACACTGGGGAAAATGAGTATCACATGTATGCAGCCCAACTTTTCCAGATGAAGACAGACTTTGGGTCACTGGCGTACAACAGGGAAAGAGCCAAGTCCACAGAGACAGTTGTTCAAATCTGTCCGGCCACCGTAAGAAAAGCAGCACTGGCCACACAGCATCCTCTGGTGCATTCTGGGGCATTCAGATACCACTTCTAATCTGTTTTCTCTACATTATTTTCCTTTCTCATTTTTTGATTTCTTTAACCTCTCCTGGGGGAAGCCAAAGGACAGAAGGACCAGGAAGGACATCGGGGCTGTGGCGAGGGGCAGGGGACCCCAGGCCCGGGGAGAGAATGAAGGCTGAGTACTGGCACATCCGGGGACGAGGGGCTCTTAGGGATGCGGGTCAGCAGGGAAGGCCTGGGCACTTCTCTGTCCCGCCCCCGGCGCCCTGAGCCACCTGCTGCTCCTGTCCAAGGGGATTGGAAGCTGCCACCCCGAGTGCTCCTTCTGAGGGGCCCCGACCCTGCTCCCTTTGTTCTCAGGAACCATCAAGATGCAGACAGTTACGCACCTAGATGTTCACCACACAACCACTTATAAAGGTAAAGGATCAACCTGTCCAACTAGGGAACTGGTTAAATGGAGCACCGTGTACCTCCTGACGGTGAAGATGCAGCGCTGAAGACGTTGCCCTTTGAAAGCATGTTTACGGACCCTGGGAAGGATGCCCGTGCGGCATTAAGCTAGACACCAAGCCAGATGTATGTACATGTGATGCCAGTTAGGTCCACAGACCCTCAGACTGGAAAGAACCACCCTAACATAGTAACAGACATTATTCTGTAGAATTAAAGGTAATGCTGCCTTTTCTTTTTTTTTTAACCTTTAAAAAAAAAAAAAACAAAAACACATGTTTTAGGTTTTCTAAGTACCTCAACTACAGGAAGGTGCAAAAACCCTGACAAGACAAATGTGGCAAGATGCATCCACTTCAAGTTTTGGGGACCGAGGCGAGAATGGACTCCTGAGGACTGCGCCCCCCAGCCAGCCACGGTCGCCCCTACTTGCCTCTCCTCTCCGCTATCTGCAGGTAACCTGTGGACAGGTACTGCTCCATGTCTTGCTGAAAGGCTTCCTCAAAAAACTTCTGCCGCTCTTTCAACTTCGCTTGCTGGGTGTGCTCCATTTCCAGGGCCTTCTGGGTGTGCTCTGCATCGAGTTCAGCTGAGGAAACACAACACTCTGGGTCAGGGTTTGAAATGGGACGCAGACAGGAAACAGGAATAAATACGTACCCCCCGAGCCCAGTGTGTCCCGTGTGCCTGTGCCCCGACTGGGCCGCAGGCAGCCTGCCCTCCCTCAGCGAGGGGCACTTCTTCCTGTCACCGGCACATCGTGCCTGTCTATGCTGGTCCCCCTGCCTGTACTGACCTTCCCACCACATCACCCACTCTGTACAGAACAGCTGTTCATCTGCCAACACCAGCCTCTCCGCTGACCTGTCCCCTAACTCGAGTGGAACCCGGTGCTTCGTCCTGAGGCCTACACATCCCTGCAATGAGACTTTCTCAGCTTACACGGTACAGCAGAGTAGCTGCCGCCCCAGGCTTTCTGGCGGGCGGCGCCCACAGAGGATGCTTTCTGACCTCTGCATGCTCAGAGCCCGCCCGCGTGCAGCCCTTGTGGTACATCCGAGGAGTGTGGCCTTGGCTCTGCGGCTCATCAGCCATGCAACCTGGCTAAAGTCCATCAGCCTCCTGGAGCCTCCCGTTACCCATCTGAATTTGGGACAGAAATATTCACCCAATCCTGATGTGCAACGTCAATGAAATGATGTTGAAGGAACTTTATGATTAAAGTGAGCAAGGTCGCTTCAAGTTTGGGCTGAGTCAGTGATACCAGGAAAGAACAATGGGGATAATCAGCCTCAGCCTTGTCATGCCAAGAACCCCACATCTGCCATTCTATAAACACTTTGTAGTGGCTTAGCCATCCTCAGTGCACGTGTGGAGAATACAGACAATGCAGTCTGGCTCAGGTGTGTGCCAGCTTTCACCATGTACGTGGGCCATGGGGTATGAATTCTCGAGTCTTCTCTACTTCACATGGTCGGGGACGACTTCTAAGCTGGCTCCAGGATCCCTGGCTTCCCAGTACACACACCCTGTGCAAACCTCGCACTGTTAACAGGACTGATTTTACTGCCATGATTAGGTTATGCCCTGTGGCACAGCTGACTTGAAGCGGAGAGGTCATCTGGGCAAGCCTGACCTGATGAGGCTCTTAAAGGCACCTGTACTTCTGGAGAAAGATATGGGAAGTGAGAGAGGGAGGTGACACAGGGCCATCCTCCCATGCTGGCTCTGAAGATGCAAGGGACACATGGCATGGAACACAGTGTCTAGGAACTGAGAACAGTCCCAGATGGACCACCAGCCAGAAACCTGGGGCCTTCGTCCTACAGGTGCAGGGGCTGGGACCCCACCAACAACCTGAATATGCTTGGAAGTGGGTTCTTCTCTGGGCTCTCCAGAGAGCAATGTGCCCTGTGAGGCACAGGGCCTTGACGTCTGACCTACAGACTGGACCTGATACATCGCGCTGTTTGTTTACACCACTAAGTGTGAGCTGCTCCCTTAAGCAGCAATATGGGAATACTCCAAATCAATTGCACCACTGCCAGCCCCTGCCCAAATCTGCCTGGCTGAAGAATCAAAACATGACAACTTGAGTTCTTTCCCTTAAGTAGATAGTTTGCAACAACTATCCTGTGGCAGACCCCACGTGAGGCTGAGTCTGGCACAACAGAATGCTTCGGGTACTTCACTGTCAAGGAGTACGCTGAGGGCCCCAAGCCCTAAGAAATACTTTCACCAAAGACATTATTCCCCACAGTTTACCTCTGGAGAATGCACATCTTTGGGACATTAGAACTCATGTAACTCAGTAATTAAAAAAAAAAAAAATCCAATTAAAAAATGGACAGAAAATCTGAATAAAGATTTTTTTTCCAAATAAGATTCACAAAATGATCAACAGACACATGAAAAGATGCTCCACATCACTCGGCATCAGGGCCATGCAAGTCAGAACCATGTGAGAGGCCACCTCACACCTGTAAGAGTGGCCATCACTGAGAAAATAGGAGATAAAAGGTGCTGGTAAGGACTTGGAGAGAGGGGGCCCTCGTGCACTGGTGGTGGGGATGCAAACTGGTGCAGCCACTGTGGAGACCAGGATGGAGGCTCCTCAAAAAATTAAAAGTAGAGCTACCCTATGATCCTGCACTCTCACTTCTGGGTTATAAAATGAATAAAACAAAAACAGCATATCGAAAGGATCTCTGCACTCAAGCATTATTCATGATTACCAAGATATGGGACTAACCTAGGTGTCTGTGAAAGAATGAATGGATATGGTATGCGTGTGCATGTGTGTGTGTGCATACACATAACAATGGAATATGACACATTCATAAGGAAGAAGGAAATCCTGCTATTTGCGACAACATGGATAGGCCTCGAGGGCATAATGCTAAGCAAGACAAGTCAGACAGAGCTTTCTCTGTCCATATGCCATACCATATGCCACTTAGATGTGGAATCTTAAAAAGCCAAACTCGTAGAAACAGAAAGTAGAATGGTGGTTACCGGAGATGGGTGGTAGGGGAAATGGGAGACGTGGGTCAGAGGGTACAAACTTGTAGTTAGAAGAGAGCTAATGTAAAATGCTGTGGTCAGAGCCAACAGTACTATGTTATTTACTTCAAAGTTGCTAAGAAACTAGATCCTAAATGTTCTCACCACAAAAAAAGAAATGTAATTTTGTGAGGTGATGGAGGTGTTGCCAACTGCTACAGTGTAACCACACTGCAATATATACTTGCATCAAGCCAACATGTACAGCAATTCATGTTCATTAAACTTCCACAATGTTATAGGTCAATTACGTATCAATAAAAAACCCTTACGGTGTTATCAAATAATTTTTTTAAAAAGTAAGCTCCACACCTGGTGTGGAACTCACGACCCTGAGATCAAGATGTGAGCTGAGATCAAGAGTTAGATGCCCAACCAACTGAGCTACCCAGGGGGGCCTCTCAAGTGATTTTTAACAACAAAAGATACATGGAACTTATCCTGAATGATGGTCTGAGGCCCAGTGTGCTCTGCCTTAGTCCTCACCACTTCCTCCGTTATCCAACACTACACTTCACAAGTACCAAAAACAGCATAATCCCGTATGCATGATGTACCTTAAAAACTCAATAATGGGGTACGTTTTTAATCCCAAATCAGTTATAGTCTCCAGTACTTAGAATATTCTGGGCATTCTTCCCATATTCCAAACTATATCCATGCAAGGAATGCAAACTAGCATTAACCAAGCTACACCAACAGAAATCTTCCCAAATTCATATAATTACAGATATCATACTTATGACGTGCCTTCTATTCATGTTATTATAATTACTACAGGCATTCTCTACATTTCCATGTCACCCTGACTTACTCCGTCTCATAGATTTGCTGAAAGGGAGATGGTCTGGGAGGAGCGCAGGTTTTGGAATCAGTCTTGGTCTCAGGGGACCTCAAGCTGCAGAGCCCAGAAGTTCTGGGGAATTCACACAGCTCTCAACCAACAGGTGACAGACGTCGGAGTATCAATGTTCCAGTCTCCCATCCCGCGGATGGACAACACTAGGAGGCATTGTGAACACTTCTCAGAGTTCCTGGGGGAACCACAGCTATAGCACAGACTTAGTAACACATACCTGTCTTGGCTTTTCCTCCTGTTCTCACTCTCTGCATCCTTACTCCTGCTCTCTGGGATTGCCTCCCACACAAACTACCTGCATGATCCTCATCCCAGGCTCCACTTCCAGAGAAACCACGCTGGCATATCTAGGACTAGCCATCACTTAACCTCTCTGAGCGTCAACCTCCTCCTCTCCTACGAGAAAGGTAAAATCACCTATTCCATAAAGCTGTTGGCAGGAGTCCATGAGGTAATAGATGTGAATCACCAGGCACACAGCCCTGGCCAAGAGCTGACGGCTCCTAACAGCGTTATTTGAAATAATGGACTCTTGAAAAGGAGCATGATGAACAAGGAAATATGAAACATTACCACCAGCCAGGACACGTACGACACTGAGCATTAGCCCAGCTCTCTCAGCCCCACTCAGGCACTTCAGAATTAGTCACCTTTCAGTGCCCTTACTAAATCCGCATGGGATCGAGTGGACTCGTAAGAGGGGAGGAAGGGGACTGAAGAGGATGTCTCTTCATTTGTTTCACTTCAGCCATCAACCTCTCTGCTCAAATGCTTTCTGGCTGCCAAGTGCATTAGAATAAGTCAACCCTAAAACAGATTAAATATGCTTCACACATTTCAAGCGAAGTTCAATTAATCTTTGAAAAAAAATAATTCCAGAATAAGTAGCTCAAAAACAGAGATCAAGGTAGAAATTATCAAAGGGGTTTTCACTAAAGAATACCTTGTTTTAACCGAATTAAGATCGTCTATAGATATAGTTGTATAGTTTAAAACTTTCATTCTTTTCAAGACTTCTGCTTCAATGCTCTCCTATTTCTGAATTAGCAGTCCTATGGTTTTTTATCTTAGGTTTTCTATATTGGAATGAAATCTAATCATGTCTCAATCCTCACAAAAGCGGGGGGTAGGTCAAGGAATTTAAGATGACTTAAAGAAGAAGAAGAAGAAAATCACTGTTGTTAGTTTAAAGCATGTTATGCAGCAGTTACTGGAAATTCTTGTGACTGCCCTATGTCAGCTTCAGAGGGGCTGCAGTGCCCGAGCTGGCCGCTTCTCGAGAAACACGGAGCAGCAGTAGGGCCACCCTCACCAGCCCCGAGCTCAGGGTGATGCTGAAACAGCACAGGGCAGATGGTAACAGCTGTGCTGCTCAGCAGCAGAGAAGGCGAACGTACTCTACCCCCCCCACCCCACCCCCCGCCTCGGGCCTGAGGTTCTAGTGTTGTGGCTCATCCTACTGTCAGGTCAGTTCTTCCCATGAAACAACTGCATCTGGGGCTGGTGCAATGGTGGAAGGCCATGGGAGGCAGTATTTCAAATCCAGAGGTTTAGTAGTGTCCAAAGTTTAGAATGACTCCAGAAAAATATAAATTACAGAACACTTTCTACAAGGAAAAATGACCCCTTGTTCATACTTAAGACATCATTTATTATGCTTGGAAAAG